ACCACTGGAGGTGGGCACACATTATGAAAACACAGTGTAAAAAAATGTTTTCTCTGAATTTCTTACTTAAATAGGTCCATATTGCACAAAGAAATTATTTTTTATGAAATATATATATATATATTGGTACGTTACATTGAAGTAACATTGTTCATTTGAGGAGCCAATAAAGAATACTTCCATGGTTTATTTAGACTGTTACCTGGGCGTAAGGACTATAAAATTGAAGCATTTTTATTTGATGTAACAAAGATTGTCATTTGAGGAGCCAATAAAGAATACTTCCATGGTTTATTTAGACTGTTACCTGGGCGTAAGGACTATAAAATTGAAGCATTTTTTATTTGATGTAACAAAGAGTGATGTCTTAGAAGATTAATAGTTTTAATTCCATCAAAACAGTGGTTGAAAAACCAGTTTGTATTACACTAGAAAATACATATTTTACAGACAAACACATAAAAATGCTTAGTTTCATGTAATGTATTTCTTGTTTAATAATTAAACAAGATATTTGCAATAAATCTTCCACGGACAGAAAATAATTATTCTGGAGTTCTAAGAGAATTGATGGTGTGTGTTTTCTTATAGCAGAGACAAATCGGACTATCTGCTCTGTCCACCGAGGGGAATCGAACTCCTGATACTACTGTTGTAAATCCGAAGACTTATCGCTGTCCCACCAGGGGACGAAGTGACATTGTCTGTTAGTTATATGTTCAAAGCTGATTAGTTTACTTATAGCTTAGAAACAACACCAAAAAATTAGGTTTTTTTTTTTATGCTGCGCTTATGAGTGTTTCATTAAGTGAAATTGATTATTCTACGACTGAAACATTGTTTGGTTTGTCTGTTTTTAGGACAAAGCCACTTTGGGCTACCTGTTGTGTCCACCGGCTGATATCGAAACCCGGATTTTTTTGTGTTGTAAGTCCGTACATTTACCGCTGTTCCACCGGGCGACAACGATATTGGGCGTAGAGTTTAATTATAGAGCTTGTGGCCGTCAGGTTGAGCGTTTGTTTGGGATAACGTGTACAGTTTTAGTTTCTACTGATAAATTTGAATGAAATAATTTTCATAAGTAAATAACAGGCTTTTACATCAGTAGCTGGTCGTGGTTTTAAGGACAAAATTATGACATTAACTTAGAAAGCCAACATTACGATAAACACTGAACATAGTTATTTTTTTTTTGCCATTAAAAATATGCCAGATTAATAGTTCTATGAAGAGAGCTAAAACAATATCCACGAAACGAAACCTTATTTTTGTTATAAGTAGATTTTATAACGTTTAGTATCTTGATTTGCCATTATTCCGAAGTAAACTATGAATTTTTATAATTAATTTAAACTAAATTTATTATCCGCACACGAAAACAACCAAATTCACCAGATGTAATTTACCATGGAACAAAGAACAAGATTCTGGACTAAATTTATTATCCGCACACGAAAACAACCAAATTCACCAGATGTAATTTACCATGGAACAAAGAACAAGATTCTGGACTAAATTTATTATCCGCACAC